ATAATCTCATAGAGATGATTATATTAAATAGCTTTTATTTCTCGTATTTTTTTACTGGTTTACGGAGAAGTGGGTACTTTCTTTTAATATAAAATGTTACTAGCAATGTTACTAGTCCTGATCTGGCATCCTAGCTTCAGTCATTTTACCACGCTTTCCTTGTGTTTTTCCTATAAATACCTTCATGGTAATTGTTCAGGATATACTTTCTTCTATGGAAGTTGTTAATTCATTCCCCATCCAGCACAGAAATATCTCTATCTATAAAAGGCAGGATGTGTGTGTGTGTGTGTGTGTGTGTGTGTGTGTGTGTGTGTGTGAATGCACGGCCGAAATTTTCAACGGATTTGCACCAAAATTTACATGCACATGCTCCAAGTTAGCGGAAAGGCCAAGACCGACTTTGCATTTCCCAACTCCCATCGATAGTGGAAATAATCGATTTTTTCATGCTTCTACGGAAGATTTCATGTAGTTTGCAGCCATTTTCTAGTGCCCAGAATGAGAGCCTATAGCTGGCTGCCACGAATAGGCAGAAAGACTCTATTGGCTGGCGTGAGAGCCAACAGCTGACTGACACGAATGTTAACTAGCATGCTAGTATGCAAAAAAAAATCGATAGCTACATTCGTCACAAGTGGGAAAATTTAAATCTGCATGGCGATGCTAGATTGGTAACTAGGTCTCATCATTTTACAGTTGAATTAAAAAGATATAACCGTAACTGCCTTTCTTCTCTCGCACTTCTCGGCTGTGGAACACTCTTCCTAATTTTTGCTTTCCAGCCCACTCTGATCTTCAAAGATTTAAATGTGATGTCAATCATTATCTCTTGTGTTCTTGATTCCTCTTCTTTTATTGTTCTCGCTCCTTAATAATGTTTTTCTTTTTCTTATTCTTTCATGCTCAGTAACCTCCTGTGTCTTTTGACGTTCTCCCCCTCCTTGGAGGGATGTACGCGCATCATTTATCTCAGTTGCGTCTCTGTCATTGGACAGAGTGCGCTCAGAGGCTTCTCTGTGTAAGGACGGAGGGGCGACTGAGAAAATAATACTGAAGAGGTACCCACCTCTGGGGAACATCTGCCCGAGGCCGCGCCCTCCCATTGCACCAGAGGGAGGGATCGGTGCTCGCCCCGAGGCCAGCGCAACTGACGGTTGCAGGGGCTGAGGGGAATTTTTTATCCCTGCCCGGGTGTACGCGCTCGGGTCCCCACATTAACCGATCTTGTGTCGTTTCTAGTGGGGGAACGAGTAAATACCATAACCCCCTGTGTCTTAGCGGCTTTATTGCCCTGCTTGTGGGTGAAATGATCAAAAAAATTGTAACATAAGTAAGGATGAGATAATTAGCAAAATAGTTTGCTGTCTCACAATCACGTACATCAGTGATTTATATTCCAGGAAGGGAAATAAAAATTGAAAAGTTTTTAAAAATGGGTGAGACATTCAAAATCTCCTTAAATATAAATTCATGTTAGAGGAGTAAAAATATGACAGCGTGGAAAAAAGTTTTCATGTGACAAGGTTCGTTCATTAGGACGTAATCTGACCATTTTTACCTAAAATTCTTCTTGATATATAAAAATTTGCATATCGTTTTCCCATGAATTGATTAGTCAGACAAAAATAATAATAATAATAATAATAATAATAATAATAATCAAGCTAATCGGTAATTACAAAACGAATATTTGAAGCCATGTTTCTTTAATTGTTTTTATTTACAGACTAAACACAACCTCAAAAAATGTACAACACTTAAACATGAATTCTGTTGATATCTTGGTTTACTAATCCTTCGATGGCCATCTTAAGTGAATTACTGTAGGGAAGTGATGTTTTGCAGGCAGGCTACTTCAAACGGCTTCAGACATCGCATTTTAACGGGCTGGAAAAGAATCGGTAATCCGCTGGACTGAACCCCAAAAAGTATTTCTGACTTAATTGAGCGACTGCGAGCAATGGCCGAGGCTCAAACATTTTACTTTCAGGGGAGTTGACATTCAACCATAACAAAACACAATACCTCAGGATCTTGACTCATCACATACCTTGTTACCAAGCTTGAACACGAATATGAACATACTATTTCCATCGGAGGCCATGAAAACCGATCACCATAACCAACAACTGGTATTTAATGCCCAAGGTGTGCCTGTCATTGGCTGTACTGACCGTTTCAGCGATTTAAAACCTCGTCCGCCTTAAATATTTTTAGAAGATGTTTTAGCTGTTGACTTACGATTTTGATAACTCTTCTACAATGTTTCGACACTGTCATGTACTCTGTCAGGTGTTGTTTTCTGACTCTGATATACATTTTAAATAATAGTACTTCATCTATGACAAAAGAGCAGGTCCTTCTCATTCACTAAAACTGAAGGGCATTTACTGAAAGGGCCGCTGTGTAATTAAGAAAATTTGACAAAATTAATATCGACTAAAGGTAACAAATCAAATATAAACATATAAAAAATAAATATAACGATTATCTAATCTAGCAAGGACCTATATTTTTATGTTCAAAAACACATGCGTATACACACATACACGTTTACATATATTATGTGGGCTACTTTCACATCCGTATATACATGGATGTGTTTTTCCGAATTTTATATCATTAGACTCATTAGCAACTCCCTTTAACGCTTCTGAGAAGGCCTTTTCTCTTTCACTTACTTATAAAATATTTGTAATTAAATCTTATTCAAATTTATATGATTATTTTCTATTTTCTCGTCTGGAGTATGTGAAGAATCTTTTGCCCTTTATTTCTCTCGCTTTTCCGGCTGCAACATCATTTTTCCTTTCCTCTAAAGAGGAGGAGTAGCCAACGCCTCCACTCAACTGTCAAGCAAAACCAAGAAAAATCAGCAGTGGTTCTGTAACAGCCGTTTGTCCGTCGAGGAAGCGAAATTCAACGAAGGTAAAAAATCAAAATAAATATGAAAGGTGTGTATTTTTAACCGAAAATATATCTTAGTTTATATTTTCCTGTAGGAGGTGATGATGAATTTTAGTCAGAATCTGACAGCATTTTTACCCTCCCAACCTTCCCTTCTCTCTCTCTCTCTCTCTCTATATATATATATATATATATATATATATAGTTATTCACAGACAGACTGTTTCGCTCTATCATCAGTGACACTATACGTGAGATTGCTTCAAGCCGCGATCGAAACCCGACATATTTAGCATCAGTCGGTCAGTCGGTGACTCTCATCCTTAGGCTATCAGCACACGCAGTGGAGAAAGAAATTTTTTTTAAAGTATTATATATGCGATATAAGTATTCACGACTATTAATGTGCTTCATTCATACCGAGGAGCTTTTAGCGTTACCAGCGGCCGACAAATTACCGTTCTTTCAAAGTGCTCAAACTAAGCGCGGAGGCAGGAGTGTACATATATATATATATATAAGGTGTGGTGTATTTGTAGGATATAGTGCTCAATATCAGAGATAGAGCATATATAAATATAAAAGTGAACAATGAAGTCAACAATTAGAGGCGACAGACTGTTTCATACTGGATGCAATTGCCAGGCCGCGAATCTTCAATGTTCACTTATATATATATATATATATATATATTGATATAATATTTTCAATACTATTCACACACACACACACACACATATATATATATATATATATATATATATATATATTGACCACTAATATTATCAATATATATATATATATGTGTGTATATATATCTTGATAATAATAGTGGTCAATATATATATATATATATATATATATATAATATTAGTGGTCAATACATATATATAGTTTTAAAAATACACAAATGCATTTTATATATTTTCATTAACGAATCCTTTCAGCCACCAATTTTGACGGGAACAAGGCAATGAACAATTCATACAGTGGAAAAAGAAGAAAAAGTAATGGAGAATTGAGGAGATAAATTTTGTAAGAAGGATTAAAATAAATTTATTGTAATGTGATTGACGAATAAAATATTAGGGGAGCAGATGAAGTTCTCCTTATGTTTGCACATAGACTCTTGATGTAACTTAATATAGACCGCTTCCAGGAGATGTAAATGATGAGCAGGTCGGGCTCTGTGCAAGAATTGTTCACGTATTTGTATACACAGTCTGGGTTGTCAAATGTGCTGACCAATAACCGACTCATGCGCAGACTGGGTTACTCTCAAATAATGTCTCGAACCACTTAGTCTTATACTGGCAGGAACGTGCTAATTCGAGTTTCCAGTCGCTGACTGGTTCGTCCTAAGTATCCAGCTTCACACAGACATTTGAATTTATGTATGATAGAACTCTTTTGAAATTAGGACAAACCATCTTTGATAGAAGGTAACACTGAATTATTCCCCCAAAATGGCACGCAATCTGGCGGTAGAAAAACCTGATGTGCCAAAAGCCGACACCCTGCCAGCTAGTGTTTAACTTAAATAATCGCAAATAAACGGGACACAGGCTGAGACGAAACACTACCGTTTTTTTTTTAAGCGTTTAATCTACAGGGTGAATAAATCAACATGCGATGAATTAAGTTAGAGATCAGGTCGATCATACAAGAATTAGCGATAAAATAATTCCAGTTGGTGTATCGACCTGTGAATAGAGGCTTTCGATAAACATTGGTAATGGATAAACTTCCTTTGCGTTCAACCAGTACGTCCAAAAGATCGCAAAATACAGCCATTTTCCATCTCCATGGTAAACCTAAAAGAAATAGATGAAGAAAATTGAGTTGGTTATAAAAGTTGGAATCAAAATAGAAAAAATGTCATCTGCATAACGTAGATACATGTAGGGCTTACAATTTTCGAAGAACAGGTTTTCATAAAAATCCACAAAGCTGTTAGCTAATACAGGATCCGGGGAACTGCCCATGGAAAACGCATCCACTAGGACAGACATAGTATTGTTAAAGGTAAATTCAACCCCTAAATGCATAAACTCAAAAAACAACTTTCCGAGGTTAAGGCGCGACCGATCATGTCAGTGCTGATTTGTAAGGTATCCTGAAGAGGGACTTTAGTCTCTGTAAGAACGGTTGTAAGCGGGAACCAGGTTGTCTTTATAAGAAACGTCAGTGCAGATTTGTAAGATATCCTGAAGAGGATATTTGGGATACAAACTGACAATATCAAAAGATACAATGATCTTACCTTCTGAAGAAAAATAAATTTCTCTAATGAAACTAGAAAAAGCAAACTGAGTCAAAAATGCAATAAATTGAAGAAAGATAAAAAAAAATGTCTGAAGTAATTGAGCCAACCATTTGGCTAACTGATGTTGTACCGAATCTAACATCGATAAATAGGTTTAAGGAACAAATTGTATTTATACACTTTGGGTAATCCGTACACATGAGGATGCTGGGATCTTATATGTTTAATAGAATCATACACCATTTTTCGAAATTTTTATATACACTTGTTTAAAAAAAGTGAGCCCCATACGGTCGGCCTTGTTCACACTTAAGCTACGCTTAGAAAATCACATTCTATATGTAAAGGCTTCTGGCACAATCAAAGAAATGAACAATTCACACAGTGAAGTAAAGAAAAAAAAGTTATGATGTGTTGAGGAGGAAATTTTAACACAGATTAAAAATGAATTTATACACGCATGTTGCGGCTTTTTTTATATATATATATAAACCAGCCTATATATATATATATCCTATAATATATATAAGTTTTAATTAAACGGAATAAACTATTAAACAAAACATACTATTCGTAAAACAATGCTCAATACTGTGACATAACGACCAAACATAATTATTTATTGAAAAGAACAAATTTTTATAAAATCACTACAAAAATCGTAATTTTCTTTCAACATTTCTAGTGTCTTATCAAGTGATAGTGTTGAAGGTTCTGCATAAAGCACCATCTTGATGAGACACCAGAATTGTTGAAACAAAATGCATATTTTTGTTGATTTAATATGTTATAATTTTTAAATAAATGATTATATATATATATATATATATATATATATATATATATATATATATATGATAACTGGTTTTTTTATTAAAGCATTCTTTATATACAAGTATCTCCTTTAAATAATTCTTTTTAATTTCTTTAATAATAGTTTTAATCAGCCATCATAAACATATGTATATATATATACATATATATACACACACACACACATATATATATATATATATATATATATATATATATATATATATATATATATATATATATAGTTTAAAATTAAAGGTCAAATTAAGATTAAAAGATCCCTTGCAATTGACACACATGATGTTCAATAAAAAGACTTTCGTTGACCGTAGACTGTTAACCTTTGTCCCACAAATCTCCCGGAACATTCTGCTATCTGCTGATGATCTCATGAGTAACACTTGAAAATTGTCGACTGGATTCACTCTGTTTCAGTCTGTTTCACTACCACATCTACAGAATGCTTGTTAAAACTTTTTTAAATGGCTGGTTTTGTAATCCATAAAATATGTTACTAATTTCAGATTATCTAAGCAGCATGTCTTGTTATTTTGCCGTTGGTTCTCTTCACTTAGAATTCTACGTTGGTTGGCGTCACGTAAACTTCTAAGTTTGAAGCAAATGATAAAGTAGAGGGCAGTTATTCCAAAGGACGGCATTCATTGAGATTAAGAAATACTATAAAAGCCACCAAAGGAAACATCCCTCTAACATACATACACACACACACACACACACACACACACACACACACACACACACACACACACACATATATATATATATATATATATATATATAAACACCGATTAAAATTTTAAAATATTGTAAGATAAAAATAAAATAAAAAAAATAAAAAAACAAAAATAAAAAATGAATAAAAGTCCTAAAATAATTTTATAAAAATAAATAAATAAACAAATAAACGACTTCCTGAAAATAACCGACACCAATAGACTACCAACAATTTTTTTTTCCATATATAAATAACCGAGGAAAAAAAAGATAAAAAAAAATGTTAATTTTTCCATAATTTTGCTACAGAATTTCATCTAAAATCTTCATCAAGCAATTAATAAAAATGTGAATTTCTTTTCTTATTTTTTTGATGTTAAAAATTCTCTTTTTGTGTATTAGTGGGTCTTATTGACTCTTTTACCTATTGCATTGGCAGTTTAAATAATTCCCTTATCCATTCAAAATTATGGAAAAAAAATTCAAAATCCTTTTCTTCCAATCAACATTACAATCAAAAAATGTTTAGTCTGTCTGTTCTCTCTTTTTTAATATAATTCGGTTTTCTCTCATTGAAACTACTATCAAAGCTTAAATATATATATATAAATATATATATATATATATATATAATCGACCTTCAGGTGGTTTTAATTGTGTGCAATTTATTTCTCTAAAAATAAGTATTTTCCATGTGTGTGTGTACAGATAGTTCTGGCTGTATAACCGGTATTGAACTCTTATCTTTGGGTCCTTAAATGTATAGAAAAAATCAGGCGTGGCTGACCACATAATCCTGAGGAAAATAAAAGATAACCCACGTTCACTTTAAGAAATAGACAAAAAGTGCATCATTGCAATTTTGCTGTAAACTTAAGGAATCAGCACAAACCGTTATCTACCCGCAAATTCTTGCTCAAACCAAGCATAGAAATAAATGACAATAAGGGTCCTCAATATTGTATTTATTGCAATGCTTGGTAACAACCATCATTTTGCCTTGATTTGGAAAATATGCAATGATTCAGCAAAATTGGTGAAGCCCTGGTCCAAATGTAAAGACATTATTTAATAATACATTCATCTACAGATCTTTATATTTTACACATTAATTCATATGTGGGTTTCCACATTAAGCATTTCCAGCGACTGGACCGAAAGTATAGTTCAATACCTGGAGGAGGCGTCCTTTAAATTTTGTGAGTGCCTTAACAGATGAATAACTGAATAACTGCATCATTAGACATGGCACATGGAACTAGAACAGTCTAGTCTAGGATTGCAGAAATAAAACATTCAGTTCGTACATTTCCAATCACTAAGAAACCGGAGCATACAACGACTGACATTTAGTATAAATATGGCAACAAAATGAAGGCAATTTACGTAAACCTCATCTCACCAATCTGTTTCAGATAAGAAGGATCAGTACAAAAAAATCCGTGAAAATCCACCGATACAAATCTACAACTCATCCCACACTCATAATTCCAGAGATAAGTTATTTCTTCAAATTGTCATGAAGAAGACCAGAGAAGGATCCAAAATCACCTGGTCTCAAATCCTTCAGACATGAATTCGATGTAACAGCTCGCCAATTTCAAAATTAAATAGATTGAAAGATCAGAATGTGACACACAAGCTGCCTCTGAGGAATTAGTATTAAATAAGTTTAAGCCAAATCATCAGGCAGGTGCCATCGACATCACCAGAATGGAGGAGGTGGCCTTGAACTTCCCTCAGACTCAGGCAGGTGAACCGAGATGGATGGTAGGACAGACCTTGGAGAAGGTCGCCAGGTCAAACATCACGAAACTGAGAGGCTGGCGGAGATTCCCAAAAGAAAATATCATCATATCATCGGCTGACAAAGGCAGTGCAACTTCAGTGATGGACAAATCAGATTATGCAAGAAAACCCGAAGACCTCATAAGCAATGGTAGCTACTACAAAGTAAAAAAAAGGATTCTACAATGAAAACGGAACACAAACTGTGACAGAAACTAATCAAGAATCTCACCTAAGTCGTATAGGCATTTTTCGTAGCGTTACACGAAGCTAACTTACATATACGGTCTCCCTAACATTCACAAAGATGGTATTCCGCTCAGACCGATTGTTAGTTGCCAAGGCTCTGTGTGCTATCCTCTGAGTCGCTTCCTTGTATATATAATTGATCCATCGATCGGAAAGTCTCCTTCATATGTCCGAAACTGCACCCACTTCGTGGAAATAATCAAAGATGCTCCCATCCTATCCAACCAGATGGTGAGCTTGGACGTGGTGAGTTTGTTCACTACCTGAAGAAGGCTGGGGCGTACAACGGCCTAAACGTTGTGATAAATATGGCGACAGAGATGAGGACAATAGTCCGAATAATGTAAATAGTGTAAATAAATGATAAATTAAGGCATTTCCTCAATGGCATAGTATCCGTTGCAAAGTACATAATTTGAGATTATCTATCTATCTATCTATCTATCTATCTATCTATCTATCTATCTATCTGCCTCAGTCTCTTCATATCTATCTATCTATCTATTTGTCTCAGTCTCTTCATATCTATCTATCTATCTATCTATCTATCTATCTATCTGCCTCAGTCGCTTCATATCTATCTATCTATCTATCTATCTATCTATCTATCTATCTATCTATCTATCTGTCTATCTCAGTCTCTTCATATCTGTCTATCTATCTGGCTTAGTCTGTTCATATCTATCTATCTATCACTTTACGTTTCCAGGTACGTATGTATTTACGTATGTTTGTATGCGAATAAATTATATTTAAACAGCAAGTGTCCGTCTAAGTTTAATTAAGAAGAACCAAAAAGTTTTCCAATTTTAGAACTAATTACTGTATTGTATTATCCACAGTGGTGACCCAAATACACAACACATTAATAGAAAATTGGAAAAATACAATGAAAAAATTAGACAGACAGACCCAGTCAGTTCTTTTTAATCAAACTTTTATGTATGTATGTGTTCATCCTTATATCCTATATATATATATATATATATATATATATATATATATATATATATATATATATATAAAAAGAAAGGACAGTAAAATAAAATCCGGTGTTCTTATAGATATTTTTATTTTTTACAAAATAGTGCTCAATGTAAATTTACAGAGCATTAATATATATATATATATATATATATATATATATATATATATATATATATATATATATGCGTGTGTGCGTGTGTGCGTGTGTGTGTGTAACAATGCACGGTGTTTATGTTGTGTTGCGTGATTTGTCAATATGAATGATTTTATCGTGTTTTACAGATAATAAAAAAATTCATACCACTCAATTTAAATTCAGTTTTAAATATAAAATACATATTTTACTTATTGTAAATTTAAAATTTAAACTGTTAACTTGAAATTAAATTTAAAATAAAAGTTTCAACAGGAATGTTTATTTTAAAATTTAAATTCAGTGGAATTATCTTTTTTATTATCTGTAAAAACGTTAAAATCATTCATATTGACAAATCTCGCAACACAACATAAAAAAATAAAACATACTTTCCCGAAATTTTATATGAAGAAGGTTAGCTTATTTCATTTTTAAATAATCTGATTTGAAAGAAATATTACTTTAAGTCTAAAATTGTTGCAGAAATGGATTTTTAACAGGGAGGTGGGAGTTTTTTTTGAGATGCCGGCTTGATCGATAGACATATGTTTTGGATTTTTTTCTACTAAGCTCATACTGGTAACAATTGGTTGAAGAATATAACCTGAACAATTTTTTATACAACTTTTTTAACTACTTAGTAATCTTAAAAATTTAAGAATATATTCGAAAGAACCTAATTTAAAAAAAAAAAATTAATTTCATTGGCTTTATTGTTCATTTAGCCTTACACTAGCATCCGGACTATATTTCTGCTGAGACTCTCCGTGGTAGCAAATAATTGAGCTGCGCTGCCTACAATTTAAAACGCGAAGTAAATGATACGAAGTTTTACTTTGAAAAGCTAAGAGTTCAAACAATAGAAGACAGCACTCACTGACTTAGTGTCTCGTTCCAGCGTTTTTTTTTATTCCAGTAAAGTACAATTGCTCATTTTCGGATTGATTTTGATCTCGTTTGGCTAAACTTGAATCAGCTGTCGGACTGAAATGAAAATGCACTTTGACTTAGATTTTAGCAGCAAGGCAACAAAAGTTCAACACCTATTGCTCTGTTTGATTTACGATATAATAACTGACAAATTTTATTCGTTGGCCGTTCTGACAAACTGAAACCAGACAACTTATTTTATTTTGCAACCATACACAAAGTAAATTGTTTTGTATATTTTACAAAGACGGTTGTTGAGAAAATCTTAGAAAATTACTAACAAATTTTAAATTTATTATCGTTACCGCTCTTCGTGTATAGACATCCGTATTTTATAAAAATCGATAGATCGATAAACAGATAAAATAAATTTTAAAATATTTTCAAAATATTAAGGGCCGTTGAATTGTGAGATTTACTGTTCATGATTAGTAAAGTCTTAATTTAATAAGAATATCAGTTATCCTCCACGAATTAATACAGAATTTTAAATGATTTACAAGTTTATAAATTATTCTAATGAAAACAAGTGAAAACATGTTTTGGAAAAAAATCATTATTAACCAAAAAAAGTCTTCAGGTTCATAAGATATTTCATACATACAAGCAATTAAAAGTTTTTCTAATTAAATAATGTCTTTTTATAGTATTTTTTATTTTACGGCTTAGAGCAATTTTCACTAATTGGGAGTCCTTTTTGACCAAATAAATTGCCAGATTTGAATTCTCCGAGACCTTGCCCTACATATAAAAATTAAGCCCTACAAAAAAAAAAAAAAAAAAAATCTCAAAATTCCATAAACTTAAATAGCATGAAGTTAACAGATGTAAAAAAATAAATATTTTTAAAAAGACTTTCTCAAAAAGAATCATTTAAAAGACAAATGCATTCACTTACATAATACGTTCTGGGAGTTTCATTAAAATCCAACAATTACCTGATTTTTGAAAGAATTTCCTAATCAGTGTGTTTTGCATCGCAAGAAGACGCCTAAACAATTACCTAGCTATCGCTGTACGTATCAGACCAAGTTATAGGAAAGTGTGTTACAAATAATTTCCAAAGCGGTCGATGAAGTGTTAGTATTAGAAAGATTACATCTGAAGCATTCGGTCAGTTCAGAATATATGAAACTAGTTTATTGAAACCCATTCTAAATGATTCATTTAGCCTTACAATAGCATTCGGACTATATTTCTGCTGAGACTCTCCGTGGTACCAAATAATTGAGCTGCGCTGTCTACAAGTTAAAACGCGAAGTAAATGATACGAAGCTTTACTTTGAAAAGCTAAGAGTTCAAACGATAAAAGACAGCACTCAGCGACTTAGTGTCTCGTTTCAGCGTTCTTTTTTGATTCCAGTAAAGTACAATTGCTCATTTTCGGATTGATTTTGATCTCGTTTGGCTAAACTTGAATCAGCTGTCGGACTGAAATGAAAATGCACTTTGACTTAGATTTTAGAAGCAAGGCAACAAATGTTCAACATCAATTGCTTTGGTTGCTTTACGATATAATAACTGACAAATGTTATTCGTTGGCCGTTCTGACAAACTGAAACCAGACAACTTATTTTATTTTGCAACCATACACAAAGTAAATTGTTTTGTATATTTTAATATGGCCGTTTTTTTTTTGTTGTTTTTTTTTTTTTTTTTAAGGGCAAGTTTGAGAGTTCCTGGTACAATGTAACTGGGTACTAACTGTTCTGGTGAAAATGGTGGCTATACACACTGCAGGATTCTGTCAAAAGACGGATAAACTTTCTTTTGGGATCAACGGCTAACTAATATAATTGTGTATACTGGGCTCCATAGCTATAGATGCAGACAGCGTGTTTATGAAACGGTATCACTGGTCGAATGGTGACCGGGACTGAAATCAACGGAGAGGAAGGAGAGTTGCCATGTGACCAACTTGAAAGCTATCGGCTGTGGTTTGAGCTGAAAAGAGAAGGTTCTTTATGCCCAAGACCCGCTGGATATGATTCATTAATCTTTCAACTCAGGTATGATGATGGATTCGTCCGGGAATGGTCAGATTTAAAGTCAATCAAGTTTGAAACAAAGAAATATGTGCTGAATTGACATGCCATATGTAACCATTTCTATGGCAGTTTATGCTCGACAACAGGTCAAGATTTAGTTCTACAAATAGATGCTGACAATACTATGGACTGAACACAACACAACGAATAAATTTAAATAAAATATGAAATAGAAGTACTTCTTCTATGGTCCATGTCCCTTCAGGTCGTTGGCGATCATGACTCTTCAAAATTTCCTGTATTTTGTAGCTCGTAAAAATATTGTCTTTTATTGTCTCTCCTAGACCCTGTTCTCGTATTCATTTACGTAACGTTTCTAGGTAGATTATGAGTCGTTTTCTTCTGTCCCTCTTGCCTTCAGTTTGTTCCGTGAGTATCAAGTATTTCAAGATCTTTTTCTTAATTAGGAACCCGAGGAAATTCAAGTGTATCTTCCTGATTTTAAATATAAGCATCCTTTTTGTTTCCCTTGTCTCTGAAACTTCTTCATCGTTTATATGCTCGGATTATGAGATTCTTAGCATCTTTTTGTTGCTTCAAGTCTCTTCTTCATCTGTGAGAAAATATTCACCGCCATGGTGGATGGGCGATATCATGTAAGAGTTCAATGCTCTTTTCTTTCTTTCTCCCGAGATTTTCCTGCTTCTTAATTCTTTGATTAACTTTTAAAAGGCATATTTCACTATCCCAATGCGCATTCATTGTCACATTTTCTCCACTGTTAAAACATTTTCCAGGTATGGAAATGGTTGTACTTGTTAGATTTCGTGATCTCCAGTGTGTAATTTGTATGTTGGGCTGTTTCTTTTGCTAACAACCATGTTGTCTGTCTCCTTGCAGTTGATGTTTAGCCCTTTCTTATCGCTTTCCTTCACTAACTTCTGAAGGCATTATTGTAGTTTCCTTTCTGTGCCTGCTATCAACTCTGTGTCATCAGCTTATCTTACATTGGTAAAATTATGGCCGCCAATAATGAATCGTGGTAGGACGTCTAGAATCACCTCACTGTATAGGTTGAATAAGTCAGGTGAGAATTCACATCGTTGTCCTCTACCCCTTTGTATTTTTATATATTTGCTGGATTCATTTGCTTTCCGTATGCTGGTCAGTTGCTGCCTGTAGAGGTTCTGGATTATTCTAATAGTTTTCCCAAATATGTCAATGCTACTTAGTAGTCACAAAAGTTCAAGTACTTATATTTTATGAGGAAAGAGGGTTAGGAAAGTATAACACACATATAATTATATATTCACACTTCTCAGTCTTTTGAGTAGGTGTAGAAATTTATCCCTGGTTTCCTGCTTAGGATTGGGTTTCCGGTTCCTCTTAAAGGTTTCTGATTTTCTTTCGCTCTTAGTAACCCCCTGGGACTTAGTGACATTATCAACTTGCTTAGAGTGAATTGAAATTAATCTTTACTTATTTCATTCATATTTTCCTTTTACATTTTGGTGGGAAATAGAATAAAAAAATAGTCTAAAATTGAAGTCTGCCTGTAATAGATACATCTAACATAATGGATTCCGTTCGTGAATAAAAAGGAAGGCAAGAATCAATCAAATTTTAGAGTAACAAAGGACATCAATTTGTGGAAATCTATGATCGCCTACGT